GCCCCCCCCGCTGTTACAGCCCCATGCCCCTGGTTCCCTCCTGCGCCGTGGCTGGCCGGACCACACCGCAACAAACCAAACAAAGTGATGAGTCAGATCTGAGCACGCTCAGAACACACTGTGCAGCCCTCGCTGACACGAGGTGTGGAAACTCATCTGGGCGAACGCTCGATGAAACACAGGCAGAAAACGTCCACAAAAAACACACACATCTGCAAGAAGCTGCTGGTGTTTTTTTTGTTTCACACACATCTGCAAGAAGCTGCTGGTGGGTTTTTTTGGTTTTTTTCAGGAAGCAAAGAACAAAAGCTTTTTTTTTTTCTTACTCATGTTGCGATGTCAGAGAAAGGCTCTCCAGAGTTCACGCGTTTGCCAAAAAACAACAGGGCCTGCAGGTCTGTGGGTCGGTCTGATGGTGGCAGTCACACCAGAGGGTGGACGCGGCTCGAGACGCTCACGTGTCACACGTTTCAGCCAGCGCTGCTCAACCAACAGCCCACGTTCACGTGCCATGGTGGGGCGTACAGCTGTGACGTATATGAAATAATCCAGACTCTGGGGGGCGTCAGAACCCTCGTGGTCACTTTAGAGTCCAGATTGAAAAGAATGAAAAATGAACTCCGAGGATGAAATCATGTACATATGAATAAAACCATTTCAAAGGCTCTAAAAAAAAAGAAGGTGCAAATGTATATTATTTAAAGTGTTTTAAACAGTTAGACTGTGGTATTAAACGGGCATGTGATCATTTACAGTGTCTCCATTTGACTTTTCTTGCATATTTGCGATAATAAAAAGGATGTACTGTACGTGCGACGCGTCTCTCTTTACTCTCAAAGTGTTTCTTTCACCTTTTTAAAAACTCATTCAAAGCTGCCGGGGGAAGTGAGGTACAGACCAAAAGAAGAAGAAGAAGAATAAGAAGAAAAAAAACTTGTATTTGTTCCTGAACCTCAATATTTTTGCACTGAGTTAAACGGTTTTTGGTCTTTTTTAAAACTACTCGTGCTTAATTAGCAGCAGAGACCTAGAGGGACTTTTCATAGTTGAGCAGCAGAGCTTGACTCAGTTTGTACTTAGCATGTGTGCACTGTTAGAAATGGAAATGAAGCAGCTGAATTAGGAGTTGACTTTAGTAAAACTGTCTGCAGAAACATAACAGACTTTTACCCCCCCCCTCTTCTTTTTAACACTATTGAATGAACAGACGGAAAAAGACTTCCTCTCTGTTTTGCATCGTCTCTTTAAAGCCGACATCAGATTCTTATAAATAATTCTTCTTATTTATTTTTTCTAGATCAGTCAGGGTCACGGTGCAGATGAAACAGACCAGTTCAAGATCGGCTTCAGTTTAGTAAACAGCTTATTTATTCTTTTACAAAATAGGTACAAATACATAATTAATGATTTTTTTTTCTCACACAAACAGGAAATCTTTTCAAGGATATGTACAAGAGTTTTACCAAAAATAACGTGGTTCTAATAAACACAGTTCTGTAAACAATATTTACAAATCATCCTTATAATGAAATGCTTTTTTTTCTCCGTCTAGTTACATCAGGAATATCGTAGTATCAGATTTTGGCTAAAAAGCTGCGGTAGTAGAAACGTCCTCCCGTGAAAACACCGGAAACCATAGAAACGACTTTTTAAAATCATCTCAAATCAGATCGGTTGTTGTGCTTGTTTTTCAAGATATGTGGGTTTTTTTTCCTTAGAGAAAATTTGGTGGTTAGAAAAAAAAAAGAGGTCAAACCTCAATAAAAGTGTACGAAACTTAGAGGAAGAAGAGAAAATAAAGTGGGAAAAAAAGAATTAGGAAATATATTAATTGTTAAAAAATAAATGTACTGGTAAATACTGTTGTGTTTTCACTGATCAGTCGTTTCAGTCAGAAAAACAGATATATTTATAAAAAAAAGTGCTGTCTAATTGTACAACGCACAACAACTTTCTAACATAATTAAATAAATGTCATTGTGACAAAAAAGTCTGCATAGAGGCCAGGATTTTTAGTTAAATTAAAAACATGAAACATCACTACGTGACACGTGTGGTAAAAAAAACTAAAACGAAAAAAACAAAAATTAGGCGACAAAAAATCAGGGACTGTTTGTTTCCATCTGCTCCAACAGTTTTTATAAAAAATAAAATAATAATTAATAAATCAGTTCTAAGGTTTGAATGAACTCGACAAGAGTGAGATGAAGTGAAATGTTTTCTTTTTTTTTTATCTCTCAAACATCACGAATGTTCAGTAAAAGAAAACGAAGAGGAATGTCTGATCCAGAATATTTAACCTCTGAGCCTAAAATCATTTTCAGTAAAAGTTTGTTGTCATGGCACGACAGCGAAAGACGACGACATTAAATAAAAACAAACACTAGAGCAACACAATCCTAGGGCTGTCAAACCATCAAAATCAGTCTGAGTAATTACAAGGTAGCTGCGGATTAATCACGATTAATCGATACATCCTGATCAGTCTCGATTAATCACGATTCATTTTGATTAATCGTGATTAATCGAGATAAATCAACACAAATAAAAATGTCAAAACATATAGTTTGTTTAATGTGAATGTGCTGAGACAAACAACTAACTAACATTGAATAATCCAAATGGAATAATTCACGTGGAAAAATATTGATATTAAGTTTTAGTTAAAATTTTTGCTTCGACAGTTGATGAACTCAAGTCAAGTCCTCGTCCTCAACCAAACTATTCAGTCTACACTTCCTCACAGTCGTAGACTGTCTAGACTGTCCTGCAGTCGGACTAAAGACAGACGCCTGACCTCAAGTTGGACGACACGTGCAGATAATTAAAGTGGACGACCAGTTGAAGAAGCAGACGTTCAGATTTAAAGATGAGTTAAAAATACAAATTATTTGATTCTCGCGTTGACTTCGACAGCCCTAAAAAAAACCCACTAATTTAATCAGAGGAGACCGACCAATCAGGAGCTGACGTGCGTGTCGTGATCCGCGGCAGGTGTAAAAGTCAGTGGCACGACAGGAGGAGAAACGAAACCAACTCAGATGTTGCTCAGTCAAATCACCAGGTTTTTACGAACACTGACACGTGACTTACTCTTTACGTTTGTGTTGTTTAGTTTTTTTTCTTACAAAGATACACATGTTAAAATTATACATGCCCTAAAATAATTCAACAAAAAAAGGAACTATTTACACGTAAAGAACTTGTTTGAACTGCTGTTATGTGGAATCCGTTAGCTTTGAAATGCTTGATGTGTCGGCGCAGAGAGAATTCAACTGAACTACATTCAGGTGTTGAACAAACAGGCTGAGAAAAAAAAAACAAACAAAAAAAAAACGTCGTAGGCTGTATCGAGATGTGAGCTCGCTCTAACTCGCTCTCTCTCTCTCTCTCTCTCTGCCAGAGGAGTAGGAGGTTGATCTAAACTGCTGCTGCTGCTGCTGCTGCTGCCGGTGATGTCAGCGTAAAACTACCCAACGTACGAGGAACAAGTCGGAGGTTAAAAGAAAAAGACGGTTAAACTGACCCTTCAATCTCAACAGGCTTCAGATATGGCCTTTAAACGGAACCACAGACAGTGAGGCTAAACAAGAGAACAAGTGACTGCATGGTCGAAGTTTTTTTCTTTTTCTTTTCTTTTCGTTCTTTTCTATGAAAAGCTACATCAGACATCACTACAGTACTCATGGAGACACGACTGAAACATTAGACCTGATTCGAAGGCACGTGGCTGGGAAGGAGGAGGAGGAGGAGGAGGAGGAGATGTAGGAGGAGGAGGTTGAGGTTGAGGTGGGTGGCGAGCCCAGGCTCAGGCTACTTGAGCAGGGCTCGGTAGAGGAGGAGGGAGTGGGTGGTCTCTCTCTCCTGCTCCATGTAGAAGATTAAGTCCCTGAGGTTCACGCGTGTGATGCGCTGCCGCGTGTACTGGCGCGACGAGGTGGACGGCACCGAGGAGCTGGCCGGAGACCCCGCCGCGCTGCCTGGCACCTGGGAAAACAGAGAGCCGGGGTGGAGTCAGTACGCACACACATACACACACACGATACACACACGATACACACACGATACACAGTACAACCAACAAACCAACAACTGAACCCTTCAGCCGCTGGAAACCATGACAAAAACTACGAAACAGAAATTAAATTATAAATCAAAAAATTATATTATTATCAAATATTGCAAATATATATATGTATATATAAATATATACATATATATTTTTTTTTTTCAAAGAAAGTCTCGTTCACGTTCTTCTATCTTTTACCAGTTTTACAGATGAAGGAAATTTATTTTTTTTTCCAAAGATTTTCATATCTGTCCTGTAACTGAAACCAGGAGAGAATTCCCCGTGATATTTTTGGGACTTTCCACCACAAGCAGAGTCTGAACTGGACAACGTCCTCGACTCAGAGGAATAAAAAAAATAAAATAAAAAAATAATGGATTGAATCTTCTTTCAGTTAAAAGATGTATTTTTGTCTGGGTGTTGTAGCTGAAGAGAACAGTTTCCATGGCGTCAGTGGAGTGTTTGTAGAAAACAACAATATCAGTACTGTAGTTGAAAAAAAAAGGTCAAAAACACAAACAAATCCTCGACTCTTTGACACAGATTCATAAATCTTCCTCAAACGACATCACAACGATAAGAGGTTAAAGACCAACCCCTGGCAGCAGGCGGTGGCCTGGATCCTGTTTTTTTTATTTGCATTTGTGTTTTGTGAGTCTTTACATCACACAAAATATGAACCTTTTTTTTTTCTTCATTTTTTAAATAAACATCTCCTCTGACACAGATCTGAGCTGACGTCTCGCTCTGAAATGGAGCCCGGCTTGTTTGTATTTGAGCCAGGAAAAATGAGAAGGATAAAAAAAAATAAAAAAAGGGAAGTGTATACAGAGGCTGATACAAATCAAGAGACGCATTTACATTTCTAAATGAGAAACACTGGGAAACAGATCCGAGCGGTGCCCACTTGAACCCAGGCAGAGAGAGAGAAGACAGACATTCCAGTCAGGAACACCCTCTCACAATTACATTGATTGCACCACTCTGTAAACACACAGCACAGACAGGCTGTAATTGCAAACATATGACGGGTATGAGTTTACAAGAAGTGAACCAAAGCCCCCGCAGCGGTGGCTCGTCTTTGTGTGTTCACTGTATGACGACGTCCTGGGATCAGATTTCCTCCTCCGTACACTCTCTGACCTCGGGACATCCACTGAGTTTCACCGTTTTTTTTCCCACAAACCGACTTCAACTACCGTCTCTGACGAGTAATGCCGTCACGCCGGAGGGGTCGGGGGGGGGCCGACACCCCCCCGGGGCGCCCCAAAAC